GGGCAAAGCAGATGTTCTCCGAACTCCCCCAGTGAAAGGGAAACTCCCCTTCATGGCCTGCTAAGTAACAGGCACCTTCCCAGGGCATTTACTCTCGCCTCCTGGTCAGTCTCACAATGTCCCTTCAGTTCTGAATTATATTTGACCCGATTATGTCTGTACTATAAGACTAAAATGATTCTAGGCTCTAAAGCAAAAATTAATAAAGAATCAGGATTTAATAGGACAGTTACATAATTGATGATTGTTTCTAAATATATTTGGTATCATTGCTAAAACTAAGTAATCAGTTATTGATTATATTGGAACAGCTTGTGCCTTCAGTCTCTTGCCTTGGTACCTGGGCAACTTTCTTCCCACAGTTGTTTATGCAGTTACAGTATATAAATTGCATTTCATCCATATTGTTTCATAAAAATCGGTGAAACTGAAAAACCAAAGCACTCGTGCCTGCAATGTGAAGTAGTGATGGAAATCATTAGGTGAATTATAAAGGACAAATTTCATTTTTACACCAAAAAAGCAAAGGCGATTTTAAAATTTGAAGAGTGCTGGTCAGGTATTTTGTAGAATGTCCCTCAATTTGGGTTTGTCTGTATTTTTGTCATCATGGCACTGTAGTTGGGAGTTTCTAGAAGAAACCACAGAGGTAAAGTGCTCTTCTCACAACATTAGAACAAAGCGACATGGTGTCAGCGAATTCATCTGGATTTTTTTTTTTTTTTTTGAGAAAGAGGCTTTCTCTGTCACCCAGGCTGGAGTGCAGCGGCATGATCTCAGCTCACTGCAACCTCTGGCTGCTGGGTTCAAGAAGTTCTCCTGCCTCAGCCTCCTGAATAGCTAGGATTACAAGTGCCGGCCACCACGCCTGGCTAATTTTTGTACTTTTTGTAGAGATGGGATTTTGCCATGTTGGCCAGGCTGGTCTTTTTTTTTTTTTTTTTTTTTTTTTAATGAAGTCTTGCTCTGTCATCCAGGCTGAAGTGCAGGGGCATTATCTTGGCTCACTGCAACCTCTGTCTTCCAGGTTCAAGTGATTCTCCTGCCTCAGCTTCACAAGTAGTTGGGGTTACAGGTGCCCACCACCATGCTTGACTAACTTTTGTATTTTTAGTAGAGATGGAATTTCACCATGTCAGCCAGGCTGATCTCAAACTCCTGGCCTCAGGCGATCTGCCTGTCTGGGCCTCCCAAAGTGCTGGGATTACAGGTAGGAGCCACCGTGCCCGAACTCATCTGAACTATTTGATTGAGGTGATGTCTACCAGGTGTCTTCACTGGAGTTACTTTTTTTTTTTTTTAAGGACGCTTTTTTTTTTTTTTTTTTTGAGAAAAATAGTAAGAAAAAGAATAAAGAAGAGGAAGAAAGAGAAAGAGGAAGAAGGAGAGAGAATGGGGGTATTGCTTTGCTGCCCGGGCTAGAATGCAGTCTAAATATGGGTATGCCTATAATTGTCCTTAATAATGGAGACATGAAAGAAAATAAGGGAAGAGAATAACAAACAAGGAGCCAACAACATTTCGTTTAAACTCCTAAGTTGATATGATGTGGTACTGATAAGAGTGTATATTTTGTGTAAAGTGGAGAGTTCTATAAATGTTAATTACATTTACTTGTTCCAGAACTGAGTTCAAGTCCTGGATATCATTGTTAATTTTCTGTGTCATTGATCTGTCTAATGTTAATGTTGAAGTCTCCCACTATTATTGTGTGGGAGTCTAAGTCTCTTTATAAGTCTTGTATGTCTGGGTATTCCTGTATTGGGTGCGTGTATATTTAGGACCTTTAACTCTTCTTGTTATTGCATTAATTCTTTTATCACTATATAATGTCCTTCTTTGCTTCTTTTGATCTTTGTTGCTTTAAATACTATTTTATCAGAGGCAAAAATTGTAACTTCTGCTTTTTATTTATTTATTTTTGCTCTCTGGTTGGTTGGTAAGTCTCTCTCCATCCTTTGTTTTGAGTCTTTGTGTATCCTTGAATGTGAGATGGGTCTGGATGCAGCATACAGTTTTAGTTTTTTGTCCAAATTGCCTGTCTTTGAATTGAGGAATTTAGTCAATTTAAATTTAGAATTAATAATGATATATGTGAGTTTAATACTGTCATTTAATATTAGCTGGCTATTTTGCCCATTAGTTGATGTAAATTCTTCATTATATTGATGTTTTTTACTTTTTGGTATTTTTTAGAAAGGCTGATACTGTTTGTTCCTTTCTATGTGTAGTGGTTCTTTCAGAAGCTCTTGTAAAGCAGGCCTGGTGGTGATGAATTCTCTGAGTGCTTGCTTGTTCACAAAAAACTTTATTTTTCCTTCACTTATGAAACTTAGTTTGGCTGGATGTAAAATTCTTGGTTGAAAATTCTTTTCTTTAAGGATGTTGAATATTGGTCCCCACTCTCTTCTGGCTTGTAGGGTTTCTGCTGAGAGATCTGCTGTGAGTCTGATAGGCTTCCCTTTGTGGGTAACCTGACCTTTCTCTCTGGCTGCCCTTAGTATTTTCTCCTTCAGTTCAACCCTGGTGAATCTGACGATTATGTGCCTTGGAGTTGCTCTTCTTGTGGAATATCTTTGTGGTGTTCTCTGTATTACCTGGAGCTGAATATTATCCTGCTTTACTAAGTTGGGAAAATTTTCCTGAATAATATCCTGAAGCGTATTTTCCAGCTTGGATTCATTCTCTTCGTCACATTCAGGTACACCTATCAAGCGCAGATTAGGTCTTTTCACATAGTCCCATATTTCTTGGAGACTTTGCTCATTCCTTTTTATCCTTTTTTCTCTAATCTTGTCTTCTTGTTTTATTTCATTGAGTTGGTCTTCGACCTCTGATATCCTTTCTTCTGCTTGATCAATTCGGCTGTTAAAGCTTGTGCATACTTCACGTAGTTCTCGTATTGTGTTTTTCAGCTCCATCAATTCACTTATTTTCCTCTCTAAATTTTGTATTCTTGTTGACATTTCGTCAAACCTTTTTTCAAAGTTCTTAGTTTCTTTAGATTGTGTTAGCACAAGTTCTTTTAATTCACAGGAGTTTCTTATCATCCACGTTTTGAAGCCTGCTTCTGTAATTGGAACACACTCGTTCTCCATCAAGCCTTGTTTCGTTGCTGATGAGGAACTGGGATCCCCCGCTGAGGGAGAGGCATTCTGATCTCAGGTATTCTCAGCCTTTTTTGGCTGTTTTCTTCCCTTCGTTGTAGATGTATCCATCTGTGGTCTTTATAATTACTGTCTTTGTAATTGGGTTTCTGAGTGGACGTCCAACTTTACTGATTCTCAGCGCCAAAATCTGAGCAACCCACTGCGCCGACCAAATCAGCGGCGTTAAGATTGATGGTGCTTTTCTGACTCTGCACCAAGAACCGACGCTCTGAGGCGCCGGCAGAACCGCCTCGCCGGTCACAAGAGTCGCGCTGGCGACCCGTGGGGCTCCTCCGCTGGGAATCTCCCGGTGCGTGAGCAACAAGAATTCATGTGAAGGTGTGGCGTCCTCTTGTTCTTTGCGTTTTCACTGGGAGCTACAATCCCGAGCTGCTAGTGATCAGCCATCTTGGATCTCTCTCCCTAAGGATGCTTTTTTACCTTAATGTATGGCCACAGAATATGAGCCAGAAAAAAAGAAAAATAGAATTAAAGAATGTGAATGAAATGTTGTTTCCATCAGTGAAGATGAAATCTGGTAGCTTGGTATGATTAGAGGTATGGTAATGTTTTCTGATTCTCTGGAAACAGAACCTACTTTATAATATACAAGTATTTAACTTTAGTGGACATTTTTAACAGTGTATACATAGGCATTGCCTGCACTGACCTGGGCAGTGCGTCCTCATTCTGCCTGTTCTGCCTGGCTTCCAATGACCCCTTTTCAGTGTTTTGTTCATTTTAAAGCTGAGACACCAGCTCACAATCAACCTCTTGGGCATTTTTTTTTGGTTTTTTTTTTTTTTTGAGACGAAACCTCGCTTTGTCACCTAGGCTGGAGTGTGGTGGCATGGTCTGGGCTCACTGCAACCTCTGACTCCCAGGTTCAAGCAATTCTCCTGTCTCAGCCTCCCGAGTAGCTGAGATTATAGGTGTGTGTCACCATGCCTAGCTGGTTTTTGTATTTTGGTTAGAGACAGGGTTTCACCACATTGACCGGGCTGGTCTCGAACTCCTGACCTCAAATGATCTGCCTGCCTTGGCCTCCCAAAATGCTGGGATTATAGGCATGAGCCACTGTGCCCAGCCTTGTTTAATCAATTAATTAATTTATTTTATTTTTTAAGTAGAGACAGCGTCTTTCTTTGTTACCAGGGCTGGAGTGCTGTGGCACAATCATAGCTCACTGCAGCCTCAAACTCCTGGGCTCAACCAGTCCTCCTGCCTCAGCCTCTACAGTAGTTAGGACTACAGCCACACATCACCAGGCCCAGTTAGTTTTTAAATTTTAATTTTTTGGTAGAGGTGGAGTCTCGCATCTTGCCCAGGCTGGTCTTGAACTCTGACCTCAAGTGATTCTTCTGGCTCCATCTTCCAAAGTGCTGGGATTACAGGCATGAGCCACGGTGCCCAGCCTCTTTGGCAGCCACTTCCTGGTGACTGTTCTTGAGTCAGGTGACCATAAGTTCCAATCAGTGGAGGCTAGTGTGTCTGTGGGCAGGTATACGCACCTCCCCCCATGGCTGTATAACACAAAACAAAACCAACTAGCAAAACCCTCAAAGAGGGCTGTGCAGGTACTTCAAGGCTTGGAGCCTCCAAAAGGCTCAGTGGTATTGTCCCGAGAATATTCTCTGTGGGTTTTTTGGTTTCTCTGTTTTGATTTTGTTTCTGGTTTTGTGTGTGTGTGTGTGCACGCGCATGTGTGATGGTGGGAGTGAGTTACACAGAGTCTGGTTGTCCCAGGAGAGGCATATGGGGGCCTGTGTTTGCAAGAAGTCCTTTACTCTGGGTGCCAGTTATTCTAGAGTGATGTGGTCAAAGGATGTCATCTGGGCTGTGTTCCCGGGTTTAGATGGAGACGCTGTTCTCGATGACAGGAGGGTCCAGGTAGGTGTAGGGCAGTGCCAGGCCCCGGTTCCGCTCCTGGATGTCCTTTGAGATCTGGGCCAGGCGGTTCTGGAAGGTGGCGATACTCCGCCGTGGGGCCTCCTCGATGAAGTGCTCATCTGGGTAGGTGCCCAGGGGCCTCTGGGGACCAACCACAGCTTGGGTGAGGGGTTTGCTGAGGTCTTGTCCCCGAGACTCCCTGTCCCCACCCTCTGAGCAGCTGCAACTTGCCTTAGCCAGCTCTGGCCCTAGTCCCCCACCTGGGACCTGAAGCAGTCCTTGACGGGGCCTGATCCATGTCCCTCCTCTTAAACAGATACCCATGTAAAGCTTGTCTGCAGGAAGCTTTTGGGGAATGAAAGCTCAATTCAGAATTTCCAAGGAGCACAATGACACGTTGCCCTTGCTCTCTGTCATCTCGGACAGACCCAGTGGCTCTGGATCATCGCATTTGGCTGTTGGACCTTCACCGTGGGATGTCCAAGGCTCATGTGTCCCACTGGAGAGTCAGTGGGGTGAAGGGACCCACTACCGGATGGCAGAGTTGGGTCTGGGCCAGGAGGGTAAACACCACACCCTCCCTTACCCCAGTTCGGCCCGGCCTGGCCCTCAACCCCACACTCACTCGGTCTCCAGGCTCCTTGCTCAGCAACCAGAGAGTAATGATGACATCACATGTGGCATTGACGGGTGGGAGGGTGTTGATGAAGCTCTCAGGTGTTGCCTGGCTTTTGGAGGTGGGTGGTGGCAGCTGCATGCTGGGTGGCAGGTTGGGCATCCAAGCACAGGAGTCAAACTGAAGGCCGAGAGGGCAGAATGAGGCCAAGGAGCTGGGTCACCTCTAGCCCGCCACCCTAGGTGCTGGCTTTTCCTCACCTGCCCTGCACTGACAGCCGAGTGCCTGGCTGAGCAGGTGAATATCACCATCGTGACATACTGCACCAGGGCTTCCCGGGTCCCCAGGGAGGAGGGTATACCTGCGAGGAGAGCTGGGCTGGGATGGAGCTTCCAGGGGCCTGAGGACCCTGCCACAGAAGCTTGAGGGTGAGGCCTGAGGGCAGAGGTCCCCATACCTGAGCTCTCCCGGTTGAGGAAGCCCTTGGAGAAGATCTCTCCAACCCAGGCCTGGAGCTCTCTGTCATCTTGGACAGACTCATCGCTTGGGTAGTAGATACCGACGATTTCAGAGACAAAGCTGCAATGCACCCAAGTTCAGGCGCAGCCTCTAATCCCGACCCACTCTGAGGAATGCCCCCGCTTCGTGTCATTAATGTCTGGCCCTTCTCTTCAACATGAGCCTCCCTGGGGCCTCAGTGTCCTTTCCAGTCTTCCTGCATCCCCAAGCCCTCAGCTCTCCAGGCACAGCCCCTCACCGTTCCATTGCACCCCAGATCTGCATGCCATCATCACGGTAATAGTAGCCTGGGATGTCTTCAACTCCTCGGGCCCGGATATCCTCAGGCAGACACAGGGCGGAATAGTTTAGCTGCTTCATGCTCCTCTGTATCAATTCAGAGAAGCCTCCAATGCCGAGGCCTGTGGACTGACAGACAGGATCTTGGGTCCTACAGACCTTGCTCCAGAAGCAGGAGGTAGCACGGGTGTGAGGGAGATGGGTCACTCTCAACCCAGGACCCCAGATTCCTCACATTGAAGGAGCAGCCTGTCCACTCCCTCCCCAGCACAGCTCTCACCTTGTCCACCACCTGCCCCGGCACAATGAGCAGCTCCCGAGCAAGCGTGTTGATGTGCAGGGTGTACCGCGTATGTGGGATCAGCAGCTGTGTGGCAGGAACGGCAGAGCTGGGGGAGGCCTGGCTCTTTCTGGCCCCAGATCTTCCAGCCCTTCAAGTCACTAGGAAAGAGGCAATACCTACAAGAGGAGGTAGCGTGGGACAGGGGTCTGAGCCCTGGAGTTCCTGCTGGGTGCCACCAGCAGCTTGTGCCAGGAGCTCAGGCACGTTCCTTCCTCTCCCTGAGCTTCAGGTTATTTTGTCAAACCATGAGCATCTGCAAACCATTCAGTCTCAGTGCTGATGTGGCTGAGCCCTGTGCCTTCCAGCTCTGGCATCCTGTGATTTCCTAACCCTTGGGCAGGCAAAGCTCTAGGAAAACCAGGGCCTGGGGGCCTGGCAATGTGGAGCTGTCCACCAGAGCTCACCTCTGAGCGCCAGGCCCCGGGAGCTGCAGTTAGTCAGAAAGAACAAGCCAGGAAGGAAGAGCACAGAGCAGGGTTCACATGTGGAACCCAGGAGACGTCTAGAAGGATCAGAGAATCTGAGTGGCTGCGGGTGGACCCTGTTGGGGGAAGTCCTGTCTTTCACAGAGAAGGTTCCTGGAATCTGAACTGTCTGAAAGCTAGCAGGGTCTAGAAAACCAATAGAACCCACCCGACAGCACAGGGGCCTCCCACCCAGCCCTCCCCTATCCCAGGACTATCTGTAGAAAACCTTTTGGTCTCTCACAGCCTTGTTCACACTTCGGCACCTGCCAGCCCCGGGTTCTTTCCTTCCTAAGATTTGGGCTTCTATGATGGCTGCTGATGCCGTCTGATCTCCCTTAAGAAGGGAGCCGTGGCTGGGCGCAGTGGCTCATGTCTGTAATCCCAGCACTTTGGGAGGCTGAGGCGGGTGGATCACGAGGTCAGGAGTTTGAGACCAGCCTGGCCAAAATGGTGAAACCCTGTCTCTACTAAAAATACAAAAATTAGCTGGGTGTGGTGGCACGCACCTGTAATCCCAGCTACTCAGGAGGCTGAGACAGGAGAATCGCTTGAACCCAGGAGGCAGAAGTTGCACTCCAGCCTGGGCAACAGAGTGAGACTCTGTCTCAAACAAAAAGGAAGGAGGCCTCTTGGGGTACCACATTCACCTTACTCAGGGTCTGCTGGAGAGCAGGCTCCCGGGGGAGTTGTGCCGGGAGATGCTGCTGAAGCAGACAGGGCTCCACATCCCCGCTTGCGTGGATAGGGCCGTGTGAGGAAAGGCTGTTTAGAAGAGACACAGAGGGCATGGGCACCGTCTGGGTCACCTTGTCAAGCCACTGACCTTGAAGAGAGGGTGGCAGTGGGGCAGCTGGCGCAGGGTGGCCTAGGGTGAAGACCTCGGACAGCAGGTGCGAGTGCAGCAGGTGCGTGAGGGCCTCGTGGTAGGCGAACTCGGCATTTCGCACCCAGGTCTTGGCCGGCAACCAGTCCCACTTGTCATCACTGGGCAGGAAGATGGGGCTGTTGGGGCCAGGGATCTGGCTGAGCTTGGGGGAGGCAGGTGGGGAGAGAGGCAGCTGTGAGCATCTGCAAACCGTTCAGCCTGACCCTCCTCGCCCCTGCCCTGCCCCTGCCTGACTGCAGACCTGGATGGCGAGAGGCAGCAGGGGCCCACCGCCTGGGCGCTGGTATAGCAGGGTCATTGGGGCCGCAGAGAACTGAGGCCTCCCATTAATGACATTGGTATGGATGTTGGAGAGGATGCCGTGATCCACCAAGAACAGGGAGCCCTTCTGCAGAAGAAAGAAGAGCTGGGGCTACTCCCTGGTTTTCTAAAGGAAGGGGGTGGGGTGGTAGAGGGAGAGGATTCAGGGCTGGGAGAGGAGTGTGTTTCAGGAGAGTGTGTGCTAGGCACACAGCACACAGTAGGTCCCTGACAAATGTGAGTGGGCCCCTCCCTCTCCAGTAGGGGAAGGGTGTGAAGGCACTGAGATGGGCTGTGCAGAGCCTGGATCCCTGCACCCCTCACCTCCAGCTCAGCCTGCAGGCTGGTCCCAGGGCCCGACACTGAAGCCACCATGGCATCAGTGACAGGGAAGTTTTTTGGGAGGTGGTGACAGTGGCAGATCAGGACGGGGTTGAGACCATTCAGGAACTGGGAGGCGAAGAAGGCATCCTCCTGCCAGTGCTCATAAGTGTACTCTGTGGGGGGGGTGGAGGGGACACAGGGACTGGGTCACCCCAGCTCCCACAGGTCTCTGCCTAACCTTCACGGTGGGTTCTCAGGGTTACTACCCCTGCCCCTTGTCTTCAGTCACTGCCTCTTTATCCAATAGCAAACCATAGTCCCCAGACTATCCATCCCAGTGTCTGCTGGACAGCCACCCTGAGTAACTCACTAGCCTCCAATGCAACATGTTTGAGACCAAATAAAGACCCTTCCTACAGCTCAGGTCGGTCCCATTGCCTGATATTTGGGAAGAGGCAGCTCCATCCACCCAGTTGCCTACAGAGGAGCCTGGGACCTCTCTTTTTCTTCTATTTCCCCCTTCTTTCTTTCTTTTTTTTTTTTTTGAGACAGAGTCTCGTTCTGTTGCCCAGGTTGGAGTCCAGTGGTGCGACCTTGGCTCACTGCAAACTCTGCCTCCTGGGTTCAAGCGATCCTCCTGCCTCAGCCTCCTGAGTAGCTGGGATTATAGGCACAAACCAGCATGTCTGGCTAATTTTTGTATTTTTGGTAGAGATGGGGTTTTGTCATGTTGCTCAGGCTGGTGTCAAACCCCTGGGCTCAAGTGATCCACCTACCTCAGCTTCCTCCTGCTCTCCTTCTCTCTCTTCCTTTCTTCCCTCCCTCCCTCCCTCCCTCTCTTCCTGCCTTCCTTCCTTTCTGTCTTCCTCCCTCCATCCCTTCCTTCCTTCCTTCCTGACAGGGTCTCACTCTCTTGCCCAGGCTGGAATGCAGTGGGGCTAACAGCTCACTGCAACTTCCGTCTCCCAGGCTTAAGCAATTCTCACGCCTCAGCCTCCTGAGTAGCTGGGACTACAGGCATGTGCCACCACATCTGGCTAAGTTTTGTATTTTTAGTAGAGACGGAGTTTTACCATGTTGGCCAGCCTGGTCTCCAACTCCCGACTTCAAGTAATCCACCTACCTTGGCCTTCCAAAGTGCTGGGATCACAGGTGTGAACCACCATGCCCAGCCGGAGCCTGGGGTCCTCTCTTGGTAGCACCCCCCATATATCAAACCCCATTGATTCTCCATCCTGACTACCTCTCAGTCCACGCATCCACGCTACTGCATGGCCGCTGCCTTGCTGAGGCCACCATCCTCTGGTGACTATAGCCAGAGCCTCATAGCAGATTCTCCTAGCCTTTTGGCCCCTAATAACTCACCCCCAGCAGTGTATAGTGATCGTACTATTCCCCTGCTATCAACCAATCAATCAAGACCAAGTCCTGCCGTGTCTGACACTGTCCTGTGTGACCCCCGCGTCCCTTCCCGCTCCTTCTCATGCCCTTTCTCTTGCTCATTATACTTTGACCACAGTGGTGTTTTCTTTCCTCCAAAGGTCTTCAGGGCCTTCGCACTCTCTGTTCCCCAAATTGCTTTCTGCCCCACAGCCCATCCTTGGCACCGTGAAGGCCCGCTCAGTTTCCAGGTCTCAGCATAGTTCGCCCCCGTGGGAGAGCTTTCCTAGGGCCCTCTCCAGGCTAGGGCAGGTGCCCTCTTTACACAGTCACTGGATCCAATGAGCATATTTCACAGTGAAACAAATTATTTGATTTTGAGTCTAATTAATACCAACTGTCCTACTCGACTGCGAGCCCCAGGAAGAATTGCATAGCCCCTAACCCAGTGTCTGATATGTAGCAGGTCAACAAATGACTGTTGGATTAGAAGGCGTTAGAAGGTCAGGGATCCCCCCCCCCCCATCCGTATCCTCTTTTGTGTCTGTGGGGAAAAGTAAGGTCTAGCAAGGGCCTGCTCAGGGTTACGTAGGAAATTGATGCTTGGTTTTCTGAGACTCCAGAGAGCCACAGGAGTTGATGTCACAGGAAAGAGGTCAGGATCCCCCGCCCAAGCTGCTCACCAGCTGCTGGGGTCTTCGGGAAGTTGAAGATCCTTTTCATCTCATTCAGACTCCTCCAGGGCCCCTTGCGGTCCAGCAGCCCCTTGATCTTCATCTCTACAAACGTGCCAGAGGATGTGAGGGGTTGGGAGTGGGCAGGAGGCCCGGGGAGACCCCTCCCTGTCAGCCAGCCTTATGCCTCTTGGGATCTTGAACCAGCCTCGGGGCCTGAGGTAGTCACCGCCCTTAAGGGAGCTGTTGCCCTGTGGGATTGGTAGTGGGTAGGAGGCTGTTTCCGGGGTAGGAATAGGTGACTCATATCACAGTGGGTGGGGGAACTGACTAGGGGAGGGCAGAAGACAGGGTCATCGGGCATCTGAGGCCCAGGGGCAGGACAAGGTGGGTATCCTCACGCAGAGCCACCCTGTAGATAAAAGTTGGCATTCTTGGCTGTGGAGTATTTGATGTTGCGGTCCAAGTCTTTCACACTCTTTTCATCTAGGCAACGAGGCCAGCCTGGGTTGTAAGCCTTCCACCTGGTGAGTAGAGAGGGAACAGGGTCAGCAAGAGGCCTCAGGGAGCCCCTTCACTAGGGCAGATGGAACGGCAGGCCCCTCGGGGGCCTTGCTCAGAGCCAGACCCCTTCAGCCAACGAGGGCCCTCCTGGGATCTGCCGTTCCATTCTACCCTCAAGGCTGCAAGAGAGCTGCCATTTTCCCACAGTGAGATGGCTCCCCTGGTCAAACGTGATTGGTCCAGCATCTGCCTAGCTCTGGGCCAATCAGAGTCCTTTCCAAGGAATTTGAGACTGGGGCTGAGGTGGTCTCTTTCTGATTATGTAGATGATAGCAGTAAACACAGAGACTGTTAGCCATGGCCATTTTCCTCTGGGTGGACAATTCTTGCCTGTGCTTCTGTAAGTGCCTCTGTGTCTGGCTGACAAACTCTTTTATGCCTGCTAGTTGGAGTTGGCTTTTGTTCTTGTGACTAGAGAAGTCCTAACTAACCTAACGCAGACACATCTTCTAGAGGGGAGACTAGTCTAAGACAGGGTCTGCACAGAAGATTTCGGTTGTCTTTGGTAGGCATCCCGTACAGAGGCACTTCAGCCTCCACAGTTTAGGGGGAGCTGCAGTACTTCATTCTGCCCTGGCCTAAGGCATCTCTACGTTCTATTCTCAAACAACACAGCCGAAGACTTTCTGGCGAAATGGTAAAATCACATCTCTGCAAACCTGAGGACCCCTAGCCAGCCCTTCTCTCACTCATTCATTCTTTGATTCATTCAACATTTGCTTCCAGGTTTGAGCTTTCAACTTCAAAGAAAAATTTGCAGTTAAAGTGCACTGCCACCAGGTGGTGGCCAAACCCTGCTTCTCAGACTTCAATCCCTCTCGTCTAGGGATGCTGGTTACATGCAGATTCTGATTTCTAACAAGCTCCCAGCCAATGCTGTTGCTATGGATCTGAGACCTCACTGCACGTATTAAAAAAGCCTAGAGAGTTGGAACAGAGTTAACTGAGAGACAGGAACAGCAACCGCACCCATTTGTGAAAGGCTTGGTAGCTGCCTAGCTACATTCTTAACCATTTTCTCCTCTGTTCCTGCTTCTAACCCAAACGAGATTGGTCTTCTTCGTTTCTTTTACAGAAGAAAATAAGAATCGCAGAGATGAAATGATTGGTCTAAGATCTCACAGCTCGTTCCGGCAGGGCCTAGACTGACCTTGGTCTCCATGGACACAGTCGACCTCAATGTCTATTCCCTGTCTTGGGGCTGTTGCTGGCAGATTTGGTGTCATGGCTTTCTTAGGGGTGGAATTCATGACACATGGAGAATCCCCAGGAGCCAAATGAGCCTGTGGCTGCACTGATCTCAGAGACCAGGAGCAAAAGCCTGCAACCTGGAGAGTTGGCTGGATCAAGACAGCAGCCGAGTTGGCCGGATCAAGATCTTTTGAAAATCTGCTCCTGAGTGCAGTTCCTGGCTTTGTGCCAGGAAATCCTCACTAGCGGCCCTGGCTCCTCTGCAGTCTCCAAGGCCCAGGTCTCTCCTATGACCTCCAGTGCTGAGCCGGCAGCACAGAAAAAGCCCCCATCTCACCCCTCGCTGGCCCCTGGAGGATGAGTTTCCTGGGGCTTGAGAGGTGCGTTTCTGGCTCTACCTAGATTTCTGGGAGGATATGATAAACTGATGCATGAAAAAGTCCCAGGGCAAGGAAGACAGCAGCAAAGGTAAGGCATTTAGAGCAATTTTTCTTTTCTTTTCTCTCTTTTTTTTTTTTTTTTTTTTTTTTTTTTGAGGCGGAGTTTCGCTCTTGTTACCCAGGCTGGAGTGCAATGGCACCATCTGGGCTCACCGCAACCTCCACCTCCTGGGTTCAGGCAATTCTCCTGCTTCAGCCTCCTGAGTAGCTGGAATTACAGGCACGCGCCACCATGCCCAGCTAATTTTTGTATTTTTAGTAGAGACGGGGTTTCACCATGTTGACCAGGATGGTCTCAATCTCTTGACCTCGTGATCCACCCGCCTCGGCCTCCCAAAGTGCTGGGATTACAGGCTTGAGCCACCGCGCCCGGCTCTCTCTTTTTTTTTTTTTAAGGTGAAGTTTTACTTTGTCGCCCAGGATGGAGTGCAATGGCGTGATCTCAGCTCACTGCAACCTCTGCCCCCTACCCCCGGGTTCAAGCTATTCTCGTGCCTCAGCTTCCCAAGTAGCTGGGATTACAGGCACGTGCCAGCATGCCCAGCTAATTTTCGTATTTTTAGTAGAGATGGTGTTTCACCATATTGACCAGGATGGTCTTGATCTCTTGATCTCGTGATCCACCCGCCTCGGCCTCCCAAAGTGCTGGGATTACAGGCGTGAGCCACCGCGCCCGGCCAGGAATTTGTATTTCTAGTACATTCCTGCAGATGCTGCTTGTCCTAGGAGCAGCTTTGATAGGAGAGGTGGGGGCAGGAGCTTTAGTCTGTGTCATGATCAGGACACTTCAGCTGCCCCTCATCCCTTGGGCACCCCCTCCTCCAACAGCAACCCCCTCCTCACTGGTACATCTCCTGCCGGGCCTGCAGCTCCTCCTGGCGCTGTTGCTGGAGCAGGGGGTGGTGGTCTGCCCAGGACACCTTGGCTGTGGGAGAAGCGAAGTAGGTTGTGGAGGGGAGAGAAAGTCCCCATCACTACCCTCAGCCACGTCCTCTCCACTATGGCCATGCTCCACCAGGTCCCCTCCTTTCATAAGTACAGTTTCTCCTACGCCAGGCTGCCACCTCCCCCTCCCAAGGTCCTGCCAGCCGCCCTCCTCTGCCTCCTACTCCGTGGCCCCACCAGCTCACCTCCCCACTTCACCTGTCTTCCCCAACCCCAGTCCCCTGCCCCTTCCTGTGCTCCCCCTGCAGCGCCAGCCTGGCCCCGCCTCACCTGTCCCCTCCCGCAGCACCAGGCTCCCCGCCCCCTCCAGCCACTGGTAGCAGGGGAAGAGGAAGGGGCTGCCTTGCGGCCGTGTCAACTGGAACCAGCGGCAGAACCAGGCGTCCTGAGCCAGGGGCCCGGGCAGGCAGGGCAGCGCTGGGGGCATCTTGTGCACGCGCAGCAGCGGCACTGGACCCACATCCTCTGGGAGCATCACCTGGAAGTCCTCCTCCTGAGGGAGGTTTGGTATGCAACAGGCCAGACCCTCCTGCTCACCCCTTTCACCTCCACCCCACCCACTCCCACGCACTCACAGCGCCAGCGTTGAACTCCTTGCCGAGATGGTCCAGGGGCAGCCGGGGGCTCTCTCCCTGGGTCCCCACGATGCTGACAGACACTTTATTCCATGTGCCAGCCCCAAAGGCCTCCCCTGTAGACACCCTGACCCTGAACTCGGCCATGGTGCCAGCCCAAGTCTAGCTCTCTACTCCACACGGGACCACAGAGCTGGGCTCACTCCTGGGACACACCCTGACCCAACCCTGGTTACTGCCACGGACTCCAAGTATTCACAGAGCCCTGGAACTCCTCTAAAAAGCAGGCCTGCTTCAGGGAAGGAAGGGGTGGGGCAGAGAGGCTGGACCTTGGAACTAAGGTGGGGGTGGCGGGGGATGGGGGATTTGCAGCACTGGGAACAGGAAGGACCAAGAATACCCTGAGGTTTGGCGAACTGAACCTTCCAGTGATGGTGCCAGGAGAGAGAGCCAGAGCTGGGACCCAATTGGGGTGCCAGCCTCTGATTTGCGCCCACCACTTATGTTTGCTTGTTTTCCTTCTTAGCCTTAGAAGTCTATGCAGGGACATTACCCCACTTCCCACAACTCTTTTTGGACGTACATTCATTATTTTATTTCATTCAATAATTAATGTTAGGAACTACCTCTGTGCCAGGTGCTATGCTCACTGCTGTGGATAAAGACCCGGGCAAGACCTAGTGTTTGCTCCCATGGAGATTAAAAGTCAAGCATGAGGCCACGCACAGTTGCTCACAACTGTAATCCCAGCACTTTGGGAGGCTAAGGTGGGCGGATCACCTGAGGTCGGGAGTTTGAGACCAGCCTGGCCAACATAGTGAAACCCAGTCTCTACTATAAATACAAAAAATTGCCGGGCGCGGTGGCTCACCCCTGTAATCCCAGCACTTTGGGAGGCCGAGGCGGGTGGATCACGAGGTCAAGAGATCGAGACCATTCAGATCAACATGGTGAAACCCCGTCTCTACTAAAAATACAAAAAATTAGCCGGGCCTGGTGGCACGTGCCTGTAATCCCAGCTACTCAGGAGGCTGAGGCAGGAGAATTGCCTGAACCCAGGAGGCGGAGGTTGCGGTGAGCCGAGATCGCGCCATTGCACTCCAGCCTGGGTAACAAGAGCGACACTCTGTCTAAAAAACAAAACAAAACAAAACAAAAAAACAAAAAATTAGCCAGGCATGGTGGCGGGCTCTCAGGCAGCTGAGGCAGGAGAATCGCTGGAACTCAGGAGGTGGAGGTTGCAGTGAGTTGAAATTGCGCCATTGCACTCCGGCTTGGGCAACAGAGTGAAACTCCATCTCAAATAAATAAATAAATAAATAAAGTGTGAGAGAAAATAAGTAAACAAATACATAATTTCAGATGATAATAAGTGCAATGAAGGAAAGGAAACACTGATGTGAAGAAGTGAAAAGCAGAGGTGGGAAGGGAGGCCCTCAGAAGCTCAGAGGAGGTGAAAGGGTCTATCCGGGAAAGAGTTTCGTGCAGAGGAAGGTGTTCCTGCAGAGACCCCGCAGTTAGGAAAAGCTTGGCTTGTTGGAGGAGGGAAAGGCAAGAGCGCAGCGAGGGAGGGATGTGAGGGAGAGACGGCAAGGGGAAGTTATGGATTTTGGCTTTGGGGGAATAACAGATTTAGGGCTTCTGGTCTGGAAATGCTAAGTTAGAGGTGGCCATTAGACATCCAAGTGGAGAGCCTACATCCATTCGTAGAGCTCAGGGGTGCAGGGCGTGCGTCTTTGAGTCACAAGCACGCAGGCGCATCTACATGCAGGCTGGTGGAGATCACTAGGCAGAGAATATCCTTTAAGTGGAGAAGAGAAGAGGAGCAAGCCGTGCCCCAGGGTCCTCCTCTGAAGTCACGCAAAGGAGTGGAAACAGCAAAGATCAGCCAATAGGAGGGAGGAGAACTATGCTGACACACGTTGTATCCCACAATGCTGACACTTTGTCCCATCGTAGTCCGTCACAGTGTTTCATGAAAGCCAACTGAAGTGAGAGCGCCTTATCACGTGGTACTTACACACCATGGAATACTATGCAGCCTTAAAAAAGAATGACATCACGTCCTTTGCCGGAACATAGTTGGAGCTGAAGGCCATTATCCTTAGTAAATTAACGCAGGAACAGAAAACCAAATATTGCATGTTCCAGTTCCTACTTTCAATTCTTTAGTGTATATACCTAGTAATAGAATTGCTGGATTATATGGTAACTGTATGTTTAATTTTTTTTTTTTTTTTTAGACCAGTCTCACTCTGTCACCCAGGCTGGAGTACAGTGGCGTGATCTACAACTTCCGCTTCCCAGCTTTAAGTGATTCTCCTGCCTCAGCCTCCTAAGTAGCTGGGATTACAGGTGCCTGCCACCATGCCCAGCTAATTTTTAGTAGAGACGGGGTTTCACCATATTGGTCAGGCTGACCTCAGGTGATCCACCAGCCTTGGCCTCCCAAGTGCTGGGATTACAGGTGTGAGCCACTGCACCCCACCTGTATGTTAAATTTTTTCAGTAACTGCCATACTATTTTCCACAATTTTACATTCCCATCAGCAGTGCTGGAGGACAGTTCCAGTTTTTCCACCAATGCTTGTTATTGTCTATGTATTTGATAGTAGCCATTTTAATGGGCCTGAAATGGTATCTCACTCTGGTTTTAATCTACATTTCCCTAATAACTGGTAATGTTAAGCATCTTTCAATATGTTTGTTGGCCATTTATGTATCACCTTTGGAGCAATGTCTGTTAATGTCCTTTGCCCAAAGCATCCATTCTTAATTCTTATCCGTCACTAGGTTGAATTTTAGACTTATGTGAATCATAGGGAAGACCCACACATTTTCAGATAGGTCAAATTTTTTTATTTATAGATCACTCTCATAATACAAATCAATGTTGCAAGTATCCATGTGCCCAAATTCAGTGAGTCTAGGAAAAAGTGAAAATGCTTTATTGTTTCTCCATTCTAAAATATCTCCTTGGATACTTAAAAAAAATTTTTTTTTTTTTTTTTTTTTTTTTGAGACAGAGTTTCGCTGTCGTTACCCAGGCTGGAGTGCAATGGCACGATCTTGGCTCACCTCAACCTCCGCCTCCTGGGTTCAAGCAATTCTCCTGCCTCAGCCTCCCGAGTAGCTGGGACTACAGGCGTGCACCACCACGCCCGGCTAATTTTTGTATTTTTGGTAGAGACGGGGTTTCACCTTGTTGACCAAGATGGTCTCGATCTCTTGACCTCATGATCCAGCCGCCTCGGCCTCCCAAAGTGCTGGGATTATAGGCGTGAGCCACCACGCCTGGCCTGATACTTAAAAATTTAAGTGAATCTATTTTAAAGAAAACTTTGTATCACTATTGTAAATGGAAAATTCCTTTCATTTCCCATAGTAGAAGGTAAGAATAAAGGAGATTGCAATGAAAACCGAACCAAACAATGTAATTCAATTCCAGGTAGATTCTATTGCCTGCAGCCAGCTCCTTGTTCCAGAAGATTATCTGATGCTAAAGGGGTTCTAAAAACATATCAACACCAAATTGTTACTTTCTCCCTGACAAGAGGGAAAGGGGAAATTGATTTGTGGTTTTTTCTCAATTAAACCTGTCATCCTGCACCTCCAAGGACTTGTTCTAGAGTAGTATTGCTCAAGGCATGGCAAGCAGACGGCTAGCATCAGATGTCTTTGAATGCTTGTTAAAAATGCCAGTTCTGGGTCGGGTTCAGGGGCTCATGCCTGATATCCCAGCACTCTGGGAAGCTGAGGTGGGTGGATCACTTGAGGTCAGCAGTTTGAGACCAGCCTGGCCAACACGGCAAAACCCCATCTCTGAGCCGGGCGTGGTGGCTCACGCCTGTAATCCCAGCACTTTGGGAGGCTGAGGCGGGTGGATCACAAGGTCAACGGATCAAGACTATCCTGGCCAACATGGTGAAACCCCGTCTCTACTAAAAATACAAAAATTAGCTGGGCATGGTGGCGCGTACCTGTAATCCCAGCTACTCAGGAGGCTGAGGCAGGAGAATTGCCTGAACCCAGGAGGCGGAGGTTGCCGTGAGCCGAGATCGCGCCATTGCACTCCAGCCTGGGTAACAAGAGTGAAACTTTGTCTCAAAAAAAAAAAAAAAAAAAAAAACCCATCTCTACTAAAAATACAAAAATTAGCTGGGCATGATGGCACATGCCCATAGTCCCAGCTACTCAGGAGGGTGAGGCAGGAGAATTGCTTGAACCCAGTTGCAGTGAGCCGACATCATGCCACTACACTCCATCCTGGGTGACAGAGTGAGCAGAGTCAGATTCTGTCTTTAAAAAAAAAAAAAAAAAATGCCAGTTCCCCAGCCCTGCCTCACACCAAGCAGGCAGACTCCCTGGAAGTTTAGCCAGGGAATCTACATTTTACAGTAGGGTGATTCTTCTTTAGAACCACTGCCCTTGATCCCTTTGTTCTTGGTAAGCATGATGATTGAATTTTCCTGTTCATATGTGAGACGTGCCTCTCTCAAACCTTGACACATTCCCCTTCCAACTTAAAAGGTCAAAACAAACAAAACCCACTGCCCTTGAGGGATTTCATTTCACAATGATGTTGTGAAATGAAATTTTCAGCACTCTGAAATCCCTCCCAGAGTGCCATGTCATTGTGACATTTCACAATGTCATCGTGTAAATATTTTATTACATTCTGTCCTACAGCTCATGATTGTAGGGTCCACTGCCATGTTGGGCACCAGATGTATGGTCCAGCCCTACAGGGCTCTGTAAGTCACTCCCGGTTGTTGGAGAGACAAGAAATTGTAGAAATAAAAGACACGAGACACAGAGATAGAGAAAAGAGAGTTTGGGCCCAGGGGTCCACTGCTATCCAGATCTCGGAGACCAGCAGTGGCCCTGAATGTCAGGATGTCTCACTTTTATTGAGTTGCAAATCTGGGGACAGGGTAGGTAGGGCATGGCCTTGGTGGTCGGTGACTGGGGGCAGGGTAGATAGGACGTGGCAGTGATAGGGTTAAGAACATCACGTGTCCTCCAGGTAGGGGCTCAGGAATTTCTGGCACGCAAAGTGAGGTAAGGAGCATAATGCATCAGCACCTTTTCCACACTTATCAGGAAAGAACTAAAACATTAAGATTTATATTACTGTCATTATCTTC